TCAGCAGGGGGCCAGTCCACTTGTGGGGTGCCCAGACTATATTTTTTGGGGGGAAATGAACGAATTCCTATGCCCCTCAAATAACCCAGAGATGCATTTTAAATAAAAGCACAGATTCTACTCATGTAAAAACACGCTGATTCCTGGGACATCCGTGGGCTGGATTTAGAAGGCAATTGGGCCGGATCCGGCCCCTGGGCCTTAGTCTGCCTACCCATGATTTAGAACCTCCCAAAAGAGCTTCCTATGCTCCTGCAGCCCCTGTGGTTGTCTTCCTCATACGTTAGTTACACTAAAACAGTTCAAGAGCTGCTGGGACAAAAGCTAAAAATGAAGCATGTAATCTGAAAAATGCAACCAGAAAGAGTTCAATATGCTCGATGCTTTGAGGTAGCTCCTCCTTTAATTGCCATTAACGGTTGCTGCTTTAGTACAAGTCATTTCAATTGTCTCTTTTTTCACCTGCTTTCAAATTAAGTGAGATTTATTGGTTGATGATGTGAAAATTCTTTTAGTTTAATTGTCATAAGGGATGAATTTGTTTTGAATATGTTATGAGTGTGTACAGATCCATTTTGAGCCTAATGCATTTTTAATAACTTTTTCCATCTGCAAATGATTTGCATTTTAAATTTCTCTCTGCAACAAACTAAAACAAAAATATGAATAGATTTTAGAAAATTTGTCATAATAAATGTTTATTTTTATTTTTCCTGCAAGTATCTTTTTTTTTAGTCAACATATGAAATGTTTTATCAACCTTGAAAGTGCCCATAAAAAGACTGGTACATTGGCAGGATAATCCTATAAACAAAAAGCTTGTGCTAAATTTAAGTTAAGGCAGGGTAAAGTACACCATATCTAAATTCTGGAACAGGACTACTGTTGAGTGGAGCCAGCCTAAACTAAGTCTGGCAGAGGGGAAACAAGCCTTTAAATAGAGTTTGAGTTTCACCACCCTTTTAGCTGGCTTAATTTACACTGGGTTCCCCGACATATAGAGAGCTGTTAACTGAAGTAGAAAATTAGGTAAAATTAAAAGACTTTGAAGAGATAAGAGAACTGGTAGCAGACTGGTTACAGTATCATCAATTAAATGATATTTTTAAGACAGATAAAAAGAAAGGTTTTAGTTATAAGTTATAAAGATTTCAAAAAGATGCTTTAGAAAACAAAATAAAATTATTGTCGAAAATATATAGTTTGCTCCTGGAATGGCATATATAAGACGAACAGGACAAATCAGTGATGATACATCAGGCAAAAGTCTTGGGACATAATATACAAATGGCAGACTGGGAGAGGCTATGGAAAACAGATTTGAAATTCATGGCATGTTGTTCACTGAAAGAAAATTATATGAAAATGATATACTGGTGCTATTTGACTCATGCTAAGTTAGCAAAGATGTATAGAACAAGTACAAATACTTACTGGAAATCTAAAGAAAAAGATGTGGTGGATGTGTAAAGTAATTAAAAATTTATGGGAGATGATATAAAATGAAATGTAAAAAATGTTTAAAACAACTTTTGTTTTAAAAAAATCCCAGAAGCTTTCTTATTAGGAATTATAGGTACCGAGATACCAAAGGATCAGAAAAGACTGTTTATGTATGTGACAACAGCCACATGCCCAGAGATGGAAGGAAGGGACAAGCCTGACCAGAGAAGAATGGCAAACCACTTTGATGGACTGCTGAAATGGCAAAATTAACTGGGAAGCTCAGAAATAAAGAAGACAAGATTGGGAAAAGTTTATAATTTATCTACCAGACCACTGTAAGCAGGTTAAAACACTAGCAGGATTTAAACCACACTTGTAAACTAACGCAAAGTATGGATAATTTAGAAGGATAAAAATCTGGATAAGTATTGATATGCAGTTGTAAATATTATCATTAGGACCCATGGAAGGGATGGGGGGGGGAGTCATGAGATTCAGAGTAATCTCGATTTTTGGATTTTGAACTGTTTTTGTTGTATGTTTATACTCTCTCTCATCTATCATCTATCTATCATCTATCTATCTATCTATCTATCTATCTATCTATCATCTATCTATCATCTATCTATCTATCTATCTATCTATCATCTATCAATCAATCTATCTATCTATCTATCTATCTATCTATCTATCTATCTATCTCTAACTAACCTTACGCTGGGTTCCCAGATCATGTCACCATGCTGACCAGGTTTAGAATCCATCCTGTGTCACCCTGTCACATTCTCATCATGCTCCCACCATGCCGCCTTTTCAGGACTTATACCACCTTAAAATCTGCTAGGCTTCACTAAGCCAACCAGAGTGAGGACAGGGGATATATAAGCTGATGTATCTCTGGCAAAGTAGAGAATAGGGAGTTACACCGGCATAGCCCAACTGCACTGGGAATCTCCTAGTTTAGCTGAAGATCCAATGGAACCTAATCACATTCATCCGGGCAGATCTTGCTACAGGACTGCTCCCTTACTTGCTTTCTATTATGGCATCAGTGCAACAGAAACCTGCCTCAGGATTATGAGTTAATTTAGGCATGGCCAAAGAATCAGGTAACCCCAGTGGATTATTATTTTTTACCATATACAAATCCCTATACCTGCTGTTGAAATTTCCAATGGTTTCAGGAGAGGTTTGCTATATAGGTATGAGGTGTGTATCTTACTATTTGAGAAATTACAAGTCCAAAACTCATTTCAGCATACAGAATTAGTCATAGGCCATTATTTTTCTCTCAGGCCTTTTATATGTCCATTGAGTTTCCACACTAGATATAGGTGATTACTGGAATTACTGGATAGTGGGACTTGTAAATTCTGTTAATTCCAGTAATCATTTGTCAAAAGCAGTCTCTCTCTGTGTACACAACTCAAAATCACTATGTTGTTTGATACAAGTTATTTAAGACTTTCAACAAATCTGACATATTCTTACAATTGTATTGATATATGACAAGCACAGGTCTTGTTCAACATATTTATATATGATAAAGGCATTGAGGAGATGCTCATCAAATTTGCAGATCACAGCAAACTGGGAGGGGTAGCGAATGCTACTCCTGATCATGGAATCAGGATTCAAGATGACCTTAACAGATTGGAGAACTGGGCAAAAACTAACAAAATGAATTTCAATAGGGATAAATATAAGAACCAGCTGCACAATTGTAAGATGGAGGACACCTGGCTTAGACTACTCTTGTTTTACTCTACCAGGCTTAAACTGGCTCACCGAGCAGTAGTCCCACCACTACAGAACGGCGCTTGGATCTGGTTTAATGTTATGGTGGTTAAACCTACACCAGCTTGCTTCACATCAGTTTCTTGTGAGTAAGCTATCAGTGGCTACTGGCCACAATGACTAAGTTCCTCAGCCGGAGGCTTCTGAATACCAGTTGTTGAAAACTGCAGGAGGGGAGAGTGGCCTGATTCAGAAAACTTTTCTTTTGTTCTTACGTAATGCCATTCATAAAGAAAGCCAGAAAAGCAGCCTGCTCTACAATGTTTCATAGTCCTGATATTTACAGCAAAATTCCTTAGCAATGGTGCTGCCTGCCGAGTGCCAAAGTCTATAGAGTTGTTCCTATGTTTTGTTTTATAACTTTCTTTTGAAATGTCAAATTGGCTTAGCTTTCTTTTCAGCTGAAAGTTAAGAGTCTGGGGCCCCTGCTGGCATGGGATACAAATCTTGTGTACCACCTGTCTTTTTGCAGGCAGAGCTTTACCTGTCTTGTGCTCAGGCCCACTGACAGTGGTGGACAGAGCAAGAGGCAAAGTGAGAGAGGCGAGAACACATTTTTTTACTTTTGTACACAGTGCTTTATCCAGTTGGAATTTGACAGGTGCGATTGCCATTATAAGATAACAAAGGAGGCTTTTATAGTGAGTCCCAGCACCTCTTCTAGGAAAATAGCACTGTTTGTACAGTAGATTAGTTTACACACACACACACACACACACACACACACACGCACATACCCCTCCACCTTCTATCCAGGCAACTAAGCAGCATTAGCACAGTTCAAGGACACATTCCAGCCATGCAAAAATACCCAAAAAGTATGAAACAGAGCTAATGGGGGAAATATCCTGCCTGGGTGAGTCCCAAGGGCCACATTCTCCTCCCTATGCACTTGGATGTTCCCTCTATATATATTTTAATGCTATATATAGAAAATATGCATGTCGGTGAGATGGGTTCTAACCTTTTCCACAACATATGAACTTATATGAACTTACCTTAACTTATATACACAGTGACCTTAATTAGATGGAGATATTCAAACTTTCAATATCCTGCCTATAATTTGAAGTGTGTCAGTCCACCAAAAGCTGTTTGCATATCTTGGCTCTTGCAGCAAGTTACTTTGCTACAGCTCTGAACAAAGAAGTCCTGGAAGAGCCCCCGTCTTCTTTTGTAGCAGTAAACAGCTATCAAGAGACACATCCTCAAGATTGCTGCACAAAAGGTTGAATCAATTATAGTTGCTTTGTTGAAGTATGAGTGAAAGGATAGGTTCCATTGAAATAACATATAATCATGTATTGAGTTGCAGATGTAAGATAATCACTGTCCAAAGCCTAAACTGTAGCAAAGTGACTGCTACACATTTAAGTCTTCAAAATCCTTGCAATCTCAAGCATCCCTATGTCAGTCCGTCAATCTTTTATTGTTGTTGTTATTATTAAAGATACGGCATCAGGCATTTAGACACTGACACCTTCTGTTCAGGCTTCATTTGATTTTAGGTAATTACTAAAACAAAAAGAATCCTATTCTTCACAATGGTAACAAAAATGAACATTAAAAACCCCCAAAGAACTGGAATCTGGTTCTTAATTTGGAAAGATGGCTCTAGTCTGAGCCTATAATGACAGCATCATGAAATGTTGCTGTCAACTTCAACAGCTTCAAAAGCAGAGAATGAAAATATTCTCTGTAATAGTTTTCTCCCCAATAGCTTACACTACACATTTATGCAGATAATTATGACCTACCTTGTGAAAATTTCTGAAATATGCTGCCTTTTCATCTGGAAATTTTTCTAGCCTTCTGGGTCCTTTACTTGAGGCTTTCTTGAAAACCAACCAACACCTTCTGAAAATCTGCAAGGAAAATTAATGAATTATATTAATTATATTAACCTTTGGTTACACAGGGCAGTATAATTCTTAGAAACTAACTTATCTGCAACCACTGGAATACGAGTTGCCAACACAAGAAAGCTTCATGCAATGGACTAGCATACAAATGTCAAATAAATGCACAAAACCCTCTTGGTCTTCTTGGTCCCTCCTCTACCAAATTGCTTTCCTGTCCTTCCCCCATTGCTCTGAGCTAAGAACAACTTGGTAGATCCTAATTTTAGAGATCTGCTGAGTCAGTTTGACCATGTTCTAATCTGTTCCTGCCTAGACTTACACCTTAGATGCCTGTGACATGCCAGCCATGATCCATGGGAGATGTGTGATTATGTAGGATTTTTCATGTGAGGGCAAAAGCTCCATGGAGATAGCCCTATGTGTGCCCATCTGTATATTGTAGACCTCCTTCAAATTAATGCTATGCACATATCAACACATAAGGCGCAGGGCTAGCTTGGCACATTCAAGAAAGCTCCTCTCTCACTGCTGCAGAACAACTGAACAGGGGTTGGGTGGTGTTTGATATTTACACAAATTACACCAAGCACAACAGTGACAGTAGCGTCTTTCTTCAGATATGCTACAAATCAGAAAAGACACACACACAAAAATGCTTTTCAGAGTTAGTTCTTTAGAAGCCGATGATCAAATTCCATTAAATCAAGTAAAGTTGGTTTGATTAACAGTTTTAAGCATTATGGAAATTGCTATCATTATGGATTTGTTTCACCTATCCCTTTAAAATAAACAAAATACAGAGAGAAAGAAATACTAGTCTTGTCCATTAAAAATACTTTTATTTCAATGCTTTGGAATGAGTTGCTAAAATAAAATTGACCAGGTGGCTCCTTGATATCCCCACCCCTACCCTGCTTTGCAGTTGGTTTAACAAGCCATTTTCAGAGCACTGAGAAACAATGAAGTGTTCAAAAACCAGCCCGGTCTCTAACAGAATCTAAATTATGTCTGAGGTTTCAACGGACTAGGCAGCTGTCCCGATTAAACAGGAAATGTGCTAGCTGACTGCACTGAACTCTTCCGGTAATAGTAACTTCACCTACAAGTTTATCTCCTAGAAATAATGTTACAACATGGCAGATTTCCAGGGAAGTGAAGAGAAAGTGAATACCCTGAGGTACCACTCCTTATGTTCTTTGATATCTACTGGGCTCACGCAATGAATACCTAATTTACAGCGGTTTCACTGGTCCTTGAGTAACAACAGTCTCCTCTTATGTTCCCAGTCTCCAAGGGATTAGAATTCTGTTTTCTTTCCTCTTTGTTAATCTACCTCACTGCTGTCAACTCTGATCTTTTTATTCAACTTCTGTTCTCTTTTAACCTACTTCTTCTGTTTATTTGGAAGAGTTTGAGAAATGTGATAATCTAATAGAGAGCTTTATCAAGAGCAACTCTCTTATTACAGGCATAATGAGCATATGTCTGAATTAAACACACGGTATCACACCTCCAGAAGCATTCAAGTGTGGAAAGCTGTGTTCAAATAACCACAAACGGCCACATAAGCTGCTTTTCTAGTCACCTACTCTCTTTCTGTCTAAGCTTGGAGGATGTAAGATCTGTAGGTTTCTTTATGCATAAGATAGAAAGCCTTCTGTGTCATGATAATATTTTACTTAATTGGCAGCAGAAAACTTTGAATAGCAGCATGCCCACTTATTCTTTTAACTATATGCCGCAGGTGACAGGATACATTTTTGGCATACAAATTCCAGAACATGCATGTGTAAAACTACCAGCAGTTACTTCTTAATATGATAACTACGGGAACTCATTCCTACATGTGAAAACTTTTGGGTCAATAAATTCTGCTCTCTAATACCAGATAAACTGAGTGTTTGAGGTTACACATTGGTAACAGATGATATCTGCCCACACACAGGTACACTTTTATTATTTTTTCACATCTTTCTTATCCTGGGACTGACCCTTGGCATGGCTTTGCTCAAAGTAAACCTGATACTGCAGTCTTGTGTATATTATATATTTTAATGGAATTTAGGGTATCTGATATCTTATATCCACTCTATGAAAGTCCTCAACAGAATCTTCATATAAACCATATAATTATAAATTCTCCATACCCTATAAACTTCAAAGACAACTGACCCTTCATAGCTTAAAGGAGGAGGAAAGAATTGTAGGTAAACTGAGCACAATCCACAGAGCCTTGCCAAGTTCTCTTTCTTGTTGGCCCTGTGGACCTGTCAGATAATATGGCAACAGCCATATTGTGAGCTCTCAAGGTTGAGCTGACAGCTAGTTTGTCTTCCTGGTACTATAGAGCCACAGAACAAGATGAGTCACTGTCAGGTGGCAACAATATTTCAAGCTTCCAGAGCTGCCAAGCAAGAGGGCGTGGCAGTCTATCAGGCTGTGGCCAATCCTTTAAACCAGTGATGAAGAACCTATGGGCCCTCCAGATGTTGTTGGACTTCCCATCAGCTCCAGTCAGCATGATGACAGTTGTAGTTCAACAACATCTACAGAGAGCTACGGTCTCATCGCTTAAAGGACCACAGAAAATGAAACTGGTTTCATAGAAAATCTGTCCTTAATCACAGATTCTCCAAGTCAAATACCAGAGAATGAGACCCACAGGAGACAGGCTATCTGAATCGCAATGTTTTCAACTAATGTAACATATTGGCACATGTATTCAGACACACTATGCACTGAGAACAAGTATTGTGTAGTGGTCAGAGTGTTGAAGTAGAGTAGCAGAGAAGCAATTCCCCATTCAGGCACAGAGTTCAACTTGTGACTTTCCATCTCTCAACCAAATGTAGCTCATAGGGTTGTTGTGAGGATAAAGTAATGGGAACCATGTATGCTGCCTTGAACTGTTGGAGTAAAGGAAGGGGAAAAATGAATGATGTCAACAGTTTCAAGAAAATTTATGCTCAGGTGCTTTTTCAAGTGTACATTCCACTGAAAGCAATGCAGTGTGAATAGATAAGCACTCCTATGCAAATTGCAAAAAGATCTGCATTTTTAGAATATATGCTGAATATATGTTCTCCAAGTGTGTTTATGCAAAATTTCCTGCTCTAATAAAAGTTCATTCTCATTGATTTCAGCTGAGAAATAAGTTCTAAATGTTTGTTAAAAAGAAAAGAACACTTCTCAAAAGCTTTGAACAGGCAATTTTTGTAAACTTTAATAAATAATTAATAAGGCCAGCAAGATAGGCACCACTAATACATAGTAAATGAATGCATATTTTACACAAGACATCTTGTTGTCACACAGAAACCTGCTTAATTATTCAGGAACAGTTAACTATTCTTTTATCCCTGGCCTAGTTTTAGCTGCCATTGGTTGTAATCAAATACAGATCAGATACTGTAGGAGATTGCTGATAATGTTTAGCAACTGTAGAAGAATTCAGTTTCAGCCTTTAAATAGGCAAGAGAAATGCTGTAACTACACCCCTTTTAGCTATGTTTCCTGAAAGATGTTTTACACGTGGATTGTAATTATTGTCCCCACAAAAAAATGTACATTTTGTAATAGCACACATGAAACCCCACTTAACGGATATTTAATTCGAAAGAACAACCCACAACCAATTGCTTCAGTGTGGAGTGACTCTGTTTAGGCCTCCCTCTAGTCCTGGCCTTTATTTCCCATCATTCTCTCCCCTCCCGTCTACCTAATGGTCAGCCAGCATTTTGTAGCTACAAAGCAAGCCAAGTTCACATGGGCTGGGTTTTTGGGGAGCGGGGGAGCTTTTAGGAAGTTTATTTATTTATTTCTGCAAAGCCTGGAGTTGCCCTAGTGGGGAACTCTCCCCAACTTGCTTTGAAACATTCATTCATTTTCCAGGAATTTTCTAAGTCACCAAAGTTATTGGCTATAACTCAGTATTTTCCAACCTTTTTTGGGCAAAGGCACACCACCATTGTTTCATGAAAAAAATCTCGAGGCACACCACCATTACAGCCCCGTGACGTCAGCGCGCAGCGTCACGCCGGGAGGGACATGAATTGCTTGCAAATTACATAATCACCTCCTTGAGGGCTGGCTCATCTTCTCCGAAGGCAGAACCCCATTAATTAACAGCACAGACTCACACCATAGCCAAGACGAGGGGGGAAAACCTCAGTCATACACAGTCATGCACATGTGGGGGCTAAATGAGGACGAAGACCGGGCAGAGAGCAGGGTTCAAATCACCCCACCTGGCCAGGACAATCCCTGGGTGCTCCCTTGGGCCACTCGCCTGACCCACCTCGCAGGGCTGTTGTTGCGAGGATAACACGGGGAGAACCACGCGCGCCCCCGGGAGCTCCTTGGAGGAGAAAGCGGGCGATGAATGCAATGCACGAAATATATGAGAGGCGACCAGGTTTTGCAGGTGAGGGGCCCCCGCCAGCCTCCGCTTCCAACACCCGGCGCAACGACGCCGAAGTTTCCCCCCGGGCTCGGCTCGGGGAGCAGCGCTGCTCCCCCTGGCTCCCCTTCGCCCTCCCGGCTCTCTCTGCCGCCCACTGGGGACCCCCCTCACCTGCCAAGTCCGGAGCACCGGTGGAAGTTGCATGCATGCATGCAGGGCGCCGCGTTGCCATTGCATTGCACTGCACTCCATGCAACGCCTGCACGCATGCATTGCCTTGCACGCCCGCCAAGGGGTCTCCCCGCGGTCCGATGCATCCCCTCCGGCGCGGATGCAGCATTGCAAAAATAAAAAAACCCCGACGCAGCCCTACCTGGGGGGCAGCCTCCGCCTCCGCGGGGATCCCTGGGCTCCATCCTGCCGCCCGATCTCCGGGGGGCGCAGGCAGGCTGCGCGGGGTCTGCGCGGAAGAGCCCCTGCCCGCCCGGCCGCTGCCGCTGCGCTCATTCCATGGCCGGGAGAAGAGCGCTTCAAACAAAACGCCCGGCCCGCCAGGCCACGCTGGGAAACGTAGTTCGCGCACCCCGCGCGGGCGCAGAGC